GGCCCCCCGGAGCCTGTTTATGACCTTTTAGCGGTAAGAGGCATGTCTAGTTGGCCGAGCAAATTTATGGGAGGGGAGAAAAAGTGCTTTCTAATGCTACCTGGCGTCTGCTGCTGTTTGGGAGCCTGCAGAAAAGGCACCATATGTAGTGGAGTGGATTGTGTCTTGATTAATTAAGTCACATCTGAGTTCCCCCACGCAGCCGCGACCGTCATTAAGGGAATGGGGCTGCAGGAGACAATGGTTCTTAGTGGATCACAACTTTCTCTTGTGTAAGTTTAACAAAGAGCGGAAGGACAAATGAGGTTCATATGAGTTTAAGGACAACAAATCAGAGGTGTAATAACAATAATGCATCATACTTATGGCGCTTTTTAGGACGCTTCACGTAGAATTGTTCATTGAGTCCATACATGGTGGTGATAAACTACCCTGGGGCAGACTGACAGAGGCAAGGCTGTTAATCTGTGCCGTTGACCACCACCAATCATGGTCACAATGCTCATACTGGGCATTGTGGGTAATGGTTCTTCTTCTTCTTCTCCTCCTCCTCCTCCTCCTCCTCCTCCTCCTCTTTTTCTTCTTCTTCTTCTTCTTCTTCTCTTAACCAACTGAGCCACTGTCACCCTTATTCTTTTATACATTTATGTGTTCCTTTTATGGAAATGCTATTCATACATTGTTTACATAATGATTATAGCTACGATATTTGTTTGTTTTGCGCAAACAAAGTCAGATTTGCACAAAATTTGAATCCATTGTTCAACTCAAGGGGGGCTAGGTCTTTTAAAAGTGAAATGATTGAAACACAGGAAGACACAGGAAGAACATGGTGCACTTTCTGTTGTAAAATACCTTTATATATAGTTTCTTTTGAAAGGTTTGATTAGGCTGGTCATATACAATGGAAGGATACATTATCACACTATGATAAGGTCAAAGAAAAAGCCATTTTGTGTCTCTATCTTTCCTGTGATAATAGTGACCCATAATCCTTTCATGTAAAAATACAGAAGTTCACATTAAACTAAAATATCCAAGTTGCTGTAAAAAGATTCATTTATATCGACCTCTCGACAGTCTCCGATTTACACCCAAAATATAACATTGTGGGGTTAAACTTCTCCCCTGTTCATATTCAACAATAAGGCAGAGTTCAGTTCCTCTTTGATTTTTTACAAGTGGAATCATGAAGGAGTCAAAGTCCTGCCTTAAATAACTCAGCTTAATGACACAGCGGTGCAGAGCTGTACGTCTCCTATGCCTCACTCCTCACTTCATCTCGCTGATGGAGGCCATTAGTACGTCATTCAAGGCATCCAATTACATTTTCTCTTTTCTTTCTTCTCGCTGATTGCATCCTGGTCTCAGGCTCCAATCAAACTCCAGTCATTAGATATGCATATTACTACAACTTCATTCTGTACAAAATTACCCACCGAGACGTTAGCTAAAGAGAATATACATGACCTGCTGCTGTTCAACACAAGAGATGATGATCTAGTCCAGGGGTCTCCCACCAGTAGCTCGCCACCCTCTTCCAGGTAGCTCACCAAACAATTTAGAAACAACAAACAAATCAAATGATATACTTAGAGGAGCTATACCTGTTTCTGTAAGGTTTGAATGTTTAGCTCCGCCCCCAACACGCTCACAGGCTTCTCATTTCCCCTACGCTCTCATTCCACGGAGCCATCTAGTTTAATTTGCGATCTGATACATATGCTAACATTAGCATTAGCGCAACTTCTTGTAAGCCGTACAACAATCACTGATGAAATGGTACAAAAGCAACGCACTGATAACACAATATATAACTGAAAGATTATTGCTAGTTCTACATCCGAAGGTGGTCCGAGCAGATATAGTCCGAGCAGAGATAGTCCGAGCGTAGATAGTCCGAGCAGAGATAGTCCGAGCAGATATAGTCCGAGCAGAGATAGTCCGAGCGTAGATAGTCCGAGCAGAGATAGTCCGAGCAGAGATAGTCCGAGCGTAGACAGTCTGAGCGTAGATAGTCCGAGCGTAGATAGTCCGAGCGTAGATAGTCCGAGCATAGACAGTCTGAGCATAGATAGTCCGAGCGTAGATAGTCCGAGCGTAGATAGTCCGAGCGTAGATAGTCCGAGCAGAGATAGTCCAAGCGTAGATAGTCCGAGCAGAGATAGTCCGAGCAGAGATAGTCCGAGCAGAGATAGTCCGAGCGTAGATAGTCCGAGCGTAGATAGTCCGAGCGTAGATAGTCCGAGCGTAGATAGTTCGAGCAGAGATAGTCCGAGCGTAGATAGTCTGAGCAAAGATAGTCCGAGCGTAGATAGTTCGAGCAGAGATAGTCCGAGCGTAGATAGTTCGAGCAGAGATAGTCCGAGCGTAGATAGTCAGAGCGTAGATAGTCCGAGCGTAGATAGTCCGAGCATAGATAGTCCGAGCGTAGACAGTCCGAGCATAGATAGTCCGAGCATAGATAGTCCGAGCATAGATAGTCCGAGCGTAGATAGTCCGAGCGTAGATAGTCCGAGCATAGATAGTCCGAGCGTAGATAGTCCGAGCATAGATAGTCCGAGCGTAGATAGTCCGAGCGTAGATAGTCCGAGCGTAGATAGTCCGAGCAGAGATAGTCCGAGCGTAGATAGTCCGAGCGTAGATAGTCCGAGCAGAGATAGTCCGAGCGTAGATAGTCCGAGCGTATATAGTCTGAGGCGGTCCCGCAGGTCTCTCCCATAGACTGCAAGTCTCTCCAGACTAATATTCACATTAATATATCACAACATTTTTCCCAGGGCCCCTAAAAAGAGTAGCTCTCTGCGTTTATCGTTCCGGAAGAGTAGCTCTCTGGGTGAAAAAGGTTGGAGGCTCCTGATCTAGGCAAAGCAAGGCACGTTTATTTGTAAAGCACAAATCATGTTTTATTGATTCTTTGCTTATGCTACGTGTCCATCTTCCATTTTAAATATTACATAAGGCTAAAAACTTTGGATTAGGATCTGGCCCATGACTCCACCCACTTAACACGTGTCAAACATGGTGAGATTATACATGACTTTAATCCAGACTAGTGTCATTTTCCTTCTGTTTCTCCGTCACGCTCAGACTACGAAAAGAATATTTCATGTTTTTAGTGGCTTGAAACCCAGTAGTTTAGTGCTTGAAGGCTGCTGGCACGCTGAGGTGAACCAGTCGCTGGCACCTTGAGTTCGGAGCTTGAAAATCCATGGCACAAACATCTGAGAAAGCAAAGGAAACATGTACAAGCAGTGACACAGTGACAGGTTATGAAAGCAGAGGAGCATCACACGCGACAGGTGCAAAACATCTCATTATGGTGAAGGCTTGAACCAGCGTCTAAAAGCATTCGTTCACCATTTCTGCGAACATCTGTATGAGCGGCTTTGACTTAGAAAGATAGGAATTTATTTTGTATTTCTTGCTCAGTGGCTCAGTTGGTAAAGCATTGGCCTTTGAGCCTGAAGATTGTGGGTTCGAGCTCATCATGAAACCCTCTCCACCAACTCCCACTGATGACTGCTGTCGTTGTGTCCTTGGGCAAGACACTTAACCCCACTTTGCCTGAAGCCCCCGCTAAAGGATCAAGGCTATGCTCACACTTACAGAGCAGCCATTCTCCTGTGGACTCACCACCTACAGAGGATCTCCCGCCCCCCCCCCCCCCCCCCCCCCCCCCCCCACCCAGAAATGGATTAAGGAGTAGAAAACGGATGGATTTCTTTCTTCTTCATAATTTTGTTGTTGTTGTTGTGGTGATAACTGAAATAAATAAATAAATACTAATAGTAGTTTGAAACAGACCATATCAATACAAAGCTCCATCAGACAAGAATAACCTCCCCACATCCGCACGATCCATTATGTCTTTTGGTGTATTTAAGATTGAATTATTTACTTAAAAGTCCTTGTTTATGTCACTAATGTCCTGTATTCTGTATGTGCCTTTGTCTTTCTCCATATATAACATTTTAGCAGAGGGCCGCTCAGAGTCATAAACGTATCTATTTGGGAAAGGCCTATTCATCTGTTGTAAGGTCAATGTCGTCTCTGCTGGTTTCTTCTTCTTTATTTAGTTTTTGTCTGTGTCGAATCTTTCATTCACCATCCATCCATCCATCCATTTTCTTCCCTTTAATCCATTTCTGGGTCAGGGGGGTGGCAGTCAGAGATGCCACCCAAGTCTCATAGCACCAGCCCCTCACTGACCCTCTGCAGGTGGTGAGTCCACAGGAGGACGGCTGCTCTCTGAGTGTGAGCATAGCCTTGATCTTTCAGTGGGGGCTTTGGGCAAAGTGGGGTTAAGTGTCTTGCCCAAGGAGACAACAACAGCAGTCATCAGTGGGAGTCGGTGGAGAAGGTGTGGAGGTGGGAATTGAACCCACGACCTTCAGGCCTGAAGGCCAGTGCTCTACCAACTGAGCTACTGTCGCCCCTTTCATTCACCAATCGAAGCTTTATTAATGTATTTTTATCATTATTATTTGTATGTATTGATAAGGGATAAGAGATCCTTTGTTCGTCCCACAGTGAGGACATGTTTTTGTGATTTGAATGAGTAGTTATAAATATGTCCACTTTTCACTAGGGATGTACCGATCCAGATCCATTTTGTGATCCGATCCCGATATTCATAAATATTGTTTTGCCGATACCCATCCGATACCGATCAAAATTTTTCGTTTTTTTATCATGACATGATCAAAAATATTGTTTGGCTTTTGCTTAACAGATCTACTGAGTTAGGTCATAGGTAAGAATCACATCAGTATTGAATATTTCACCTTTAAAATAAACTTGATATAAAAAAATATCAAAGAGGATCAATTATCAAAAAGCTGCCCTCAACATTCAGTATAACAAAAAGCCAGTACTTAACCAGTGTGTGAACTCTGTAAATGTTAACTCCCCGATATTTAACAAATCCGATCCTTACAAAATACCCATGTCGGCCCCCGATACCGATGCTGAATATCGGATCGGTACATCCCTACTTTTCACATCCCAATACATTGTATGATTTGTCCACTATAACCAGCCAACACTGCTCCAACCCTGCTCCAACCCTGCTCCAACCCTGCTCCAACCCTGCTCCAACCCTGCTCCAACCCCGCTCCAACCCTGCTCCAACCCTGCTCCAACCCTGCTCCAACCCTGCTCCAACCCCGCTCCAACCCCGCTCCAACCCTGCTCCAACACTGCTCCAACCATGCTCCAACCCTGCTCCAACCCTGCTCCAACCCTGCTCCAACCCTGCTCCAACACTGCTCCAACCATGCTCCAACCCTGCTCCAACCCTGCTCCAACCCTGCTCCAACCCTGCTCCAACCCTGCTCCAACCCCGCTCCAACCCTGCTCCAACACTGCTCCAACCCTGCTCCAACCCCGCTCCAACACTGCTCCAACACTGCTCCAACCATGCTCCAACCCTGCTCCAACCCTGCTCCAACACTGCTCCAACCCCGCTCCAACACTGCTCCAACACTGCTCCAACCATGCTCCAACCCTGCTCCAACCATGCTCCAACCCTGCTCCAACCCTGCTCCAACCCTGCTCCAACCCTGCTCCAACCTTGCTCCAACCCTGCTCCAACCCTGCTCCAACCCTGCTCCAACCCTGCTCCAACCCTGCTCCAACCCTGCTCCAACCCTGCTCCAACCCTGCTCCAACCCTGCTCCAACCCTGCTGCAAACCCTGCTCCAAACACTGCTCCAAACCCTGCTCCAACCCTGCTCCAACCCTGCTCCAACCCTGCTACAAACCCTGCTGCAACCCTGCTCCAACCCTGCTCCAACCCTGCTCCAACCCTGCTCCAAACCCTGCTCCAACCCTGCTGCAAACCCTGCTGCAACCCTGCTCCAACCCTGCTCCAACCATGCTCCAACCCTGCTCCAACCCTGCTCCAACCCTGCTCCAACACTGCTCCAACCATGCTCCAACCCTGCTCCAACACTGCTCCAACCCTGCTCCAACCCTGCTCCAACCCTGCTCCAACCCCGCTCCAACCCCGCTCCAACCCTGCTCCAACACTGCTCCAACCCTGCTCCAACCCCGCTCCAACACTGCTCCAACACTGCTCCAACCATGCTCCAACCCTGCTCCAACCCTGCTCCAACCCTGCTCCAACACTGCTCCAACCCCGCTCCAACACTGCTCCAACACTGCTCCAACCCTGCTCCAACACTGCTCCAACCATGCTCCAACCTGCTCCAACCCTGCTCCAACCCTGCTCCAACCCTGCTCCAACCCTGCTCCAACCCTGCCCAACCTCCAACCCTCTCCACCCTGCTCCAACCCTGCTCCAACCCTGCTCCAACCCTCACCGCTCCAACCCTGCTCCAACACTGCTCCAACCCTGCTCCAACCGCTCCAACACTGCTCCAACCCTGCTCCAACCTGCTCCAACCCTGCTCCAACCCTGCTCCAACCCTGCTCCAACCCTGCTCCAACCCTGCTCCAACCCTGCTGCAAACCCTGCTCCAAACACTGCTCCAAACCCTGCTCCAACCCTGCTCCAACCCTGCTCCAAACCCTGCTGCAACCCTGCTCCAACCCTGCTCCAACCCTGCTCCAACCCTGCTCCAAACCCTGCTCCAACCCTGCTGCAAACCCTGCTGCAACCCTGCTCCAACACTGCTCCAACCATGCTCCAACCCTGCTCCAACCATGCTCCAACCCTGCTCCAACCCTGCTCCAACCCTGCTCCAACCATGCTCCAACCCTGCTCCAACCCTGCTCCAACCCTGCTGCAAACCCTGCTGCAACCCTGCTCCAACCCTGCTCCAACCCCGCTCCAACCCTGCTCCAACCCTGCTCCAACACTGCTCCAACCCCGCTCCAACACTGCTCCAACACTGCTCCAACCATGCTCCAACCCTGCTCCAACCCTGCTCCAACCCTGCTCCAACCCTGCTCCAACCCTGCTCCAACCCTGCTCCAACCCTGCTCCAACCCTGCTCCAACCCTGCTCCAACCCTGCTGCAAACCCTGCTCCAAACACTGCTCCAACACTGCTCCAACCCTGCTCCAACCCCGCTCCAACCCTGCTCCAACACTGCTCCAACCCTGCTCCAACCCTGCTCCAACCCCGCTCCAACACTGCTCCAACACTGCTCCAACCATGCTCCAACCCTGCTCCAACCCCGCTCCAACACTGCTCCAACACTGCTCCAACCATGCTCCAACCCTGCTCCAACCCTGCTCCAACCCTGCTCCAACCCTGCTCCAACCCTGCTCCAACCCTGCTCCAACCCTGCTCCAACCCTGCTCCAACCCTGCTGCAAACCCTGCTCCAAACACTGCTCCAACACTGCTCCAACCCTGCTCCAACCCCGCTCCAACCCTGCTCCAACACTGCTCCAACCCTGCTCCAACCCCGCTCCAACCCTGCTCCAACACTGCTCCAACCCTGCTCCAACACTGCTCCAACCCTGCTGCAAACCCAGCATCATTCACAAAACAAAGAAGTGTGAAGGAGATGCTTGCACTGACATCTCCAAAGCCAACACAATCTATCTCTAATGGCCGTCCTCCCCTTCAATAGCCTAATGTTTAATCAGAGTAAGAGCCACATTTTACTCGGCCTGTGCTGGCATCTATTCATTTCCCCTCTCCTCCTTTTCATTTGTTTGTTTGTTTTTTTATTTCCCTGTTACTCTCCCAACAGCCAGCTGGCATTCGTCGCCTGTGTGATTGAGTTGCGTTCGATACAAAAGCAGCTACTGGGCTGGAGACAAATTAATCACAGCCACAACTGGTCAATGGCGGCCCACACTGACCCCGGGATAGGCGTATTAAGAAACTGCACACAAATACGGCTGCTTTCTTTTTCAAGCCAGGAGTGGGAATTAACACGGTTACTATCAATTCAATCCTGTCAACTGCCATCCTAAGTTAGCCTGGCCTAAGTTAGCCTGGCCTTAGTCATTCGTAAACTCAGGTTAATTATCATTTCCCTCCATGTACCTTCTGGGTCTATTCTCAGTGTCAGCAATTACATCTCTGGAATCCCATCCGACCAATCAGCGGGCGCAGGAGGCGGGTGTTGTAGATATATGTGGGTGACGTCAAAAGCCAAAAGCGACGAATTTGCTGGTTGTAGTCTGGCAGTAAAATAATCTGTTCTTGTTCAATCCAAATATGAAGGAATTGAAGCTGGAACAAGAGTAATGTTTAGTAAATGTCCTTGCTGCAAAGATGTTTTGGCTCTACTCCCCACGGGCTCCGTTAGTTGCAAAGGAGATGGCTAAAGCTAGGCTAAATGCTAAAGCTAGGCTACATGCTAAATGTCACTCGGGCTCATTACATACGTCACGGTAAACTCAGATCCAATGGTTTCAATCTGCAAAAGAAGTTAACTCCTCCCACCTGTTAACGGAGTCAATGGAGCAAATCCAGACCTTTGTACAAAATGTAATTTGTACTATGGTGTGGCACGACCAGGCTAATCCTAAGTAGATCTATTCACAAATAATTGAGCATTAAAACTTTTCCTTAACCCGATAACACATAAGAACTAGCCTGACGTACACTGCTATAGCACTGCTGGAGAAGGACTGCACCGAGCCAAGAGTATTTTAGTTTCTCTGTATTCAACAATCAATACCTGTTGGCAAAGTAGTGCCTGTGTTTATTTGTGTATATAATCTTCTATACAACGGGACTATAAACATTAACGAGACACTACCTTAAATTATGCTTTCTAGGCACGCACTTTATTGTTAAGAATTTGTCATTGTCTTGTTGAGAAAAGTTTTAAAGGAGCTCATAATAAATTACACCAAAAAGCTATCCAAATTCTATTTATTTATCCAATGCTCAGAGCAAACAAGATATAAATCATTCTAAAGGTTGCACGGAACAAGATAAAAATCGTCTTGAGACAAAGGAGGTTTTTTATAGGTCTAGTGTTTGGTTCATGGAAAGGAGGCAAGGCAAGTTTATTTGTATAGCACAATTCATACACAAGGCAACTCAAAGTGCTGAACAAGATAGCATTAAAATCATAAATAATCACAGAACATTAAAACGAAAGATAAAAATATAAAATCCCTCAGTTGTATGCACAGCTAAACAGAACTGTCTTTAACCTGGTTTTAAACATTGTCAGAGAGGAGGCCTGTCTCACATCTTCAGGAAGATTGTTCCAGATTTGTTCCAGATTCCAAAGGAGCAGTTCAGACCGGACTAAAAAGAGTTGGATGTGAAGATGGACAGTGAGGGTTATGAGTGAGAGCAAAGATTATCGAGGGACCTCAGGCCAACCCAGGTCTTAACAAGGACTACGCTAATTATAAAGAAGAGCTCAACGAGGATTAACCTAAACATATGAGTTTGAATCAGGAATGAAATCTGTCTTACCTGAAGGAGCATGTGGACAAAAGAGAAACCTCATCCTCAAACACCAGCAGCGGGACAAGGTTTTCAATGGATTCACTCACTGTATCAATCAATCAATCAAAGTTTATTTGTAGAGCGCCTTTCATACACAGGGCAACACAAAGCGCTTCACAGTCCACATCACAAATCATCACATAAAACAAACACCAGAATCACAATTAAAACATTAGAATCACACAAAAGATTAAAACACAATTAAAACATTAAAATCACACAAAAGATTAAAACACAATTAAAACATTAAAATCACACAAAAGAATAAAACCATTAAAACTTTCAAAATTACACAAGAAATTAAAAAAAAAAAAAAAAAAAAAAAATGACAACAGTGCATTAGAAATGCAGATAAAATCCTTCAGTTGTATGCACAGGCAAACAGAACAGTCTTTAACCTGGATTTGTACATTGACAGAGTAGACGCCTCCCTCACATTTTCAGGGAGATTGTTCCAGATCTTAGCTGCATGGATCTGAAACGCAGCCTCCCCATGTTTGGTTCTCACTCTGGGCACCAGCAGGAGGCCAGTCCCTGTGCTCCTCAGAGTCCGGGCTGGTTCATATGACACCAACATGTCACTAATGTATTTTGGTGCAAGGCCATGGAGAGACTTGTACACAAGCAGAGCTGTTTTAAAATCTATTCTCTGAGCCACAGGAAGCCAGTGCAGAGACCTGAGGACCGGACTAATATGGTCATACTTCCTGGTTCCTGTCAGGACTCTAGCTGCTGCATTTTGGATGTACTGCAGCTGCTTACAGGTCTGTTTGGACAGACCTGTAAGCAGGCCATTGCAGTAGTCTAGCCTGCTGGAGACAAATGCATGGACAAGAATCTCCAAGTCTGCCCTGGACACTATATTTCTAACTTTGGCAATGTTCTTCAGATGGTAAAAAGCTGTTGATGTTATTGATTTTATGTGGCTATTGAAGTTTAGGTCTGAGTCCAGTATTACCCCCAAATTTCTGACCTTGTCTGAAGGAAGTAGGGAGAGAGACTGAAGTTGGCAAATGACGCCCTCTCTTTGTTTCTGGGGACCAAAGACAATGATTTCGGTTTTGTCTGCATTTAGCTGGAGGAAATTATTTTGCATCCAGTCACTGATCTGTTGGATACAGTGAAGGAGCAAATCCAGTGGTCCATGTTCTCCTGCAGTCAGTGAGACATAGATCTGAGTGTCGTCGGCGTAATTGTGGTAGGACACTTTGTTTCTTTGTATTAACTGACCTAACGGCAGCATGTAGAGATTAAATAGGAGAGGTCCCAGGATCGACCCTTGTGGTACTCCACAGGTCAGGGCCACATGATCTGAGACGCAGTCTCCAATCTCCACAAAGTACTTCCTATCCTCCAGGTAAGACCTAAACCAGTCTAGGGCTGTGCCAGTGACACCAACCCAGTCCTCCAGTCTCTGCATGAGGATCTCATGGTCGACAGTGTCGAACGCGGCACTAAGATCTAACATGACCAAAACTGTGACTTTACCTGCATCAGTGTGAAGTCGAATGTCGTTTGTTACCTTCACTAGAGCGGTCTCAGTGCTGTGGTGGGGTCTAAACCCAGACTGGAACTGGAACTGTATCTTAAGTGTCTCTCCTTGTCTGTGGGGCTGTACCCAGAAAGAGAATTATCCAATGCTTTTGTATGGCGTCTTCTTTCCTCTCGAAAAAGGTGTTACAGGATGGCCCAAAAGTCGCTGTGGACTTTTGAAGGCACTCGTTAAATGAATGAGGCTGGTCCCGGCTAATGCGGTTTTTCAGATTTTCCAGCGGGAGGGGCTGCCCGCGGCCATTTTGGAAAAGCCCCAAAGAAGCCAAAAAAAGTGATCACACATTAGTTTCAACAACAGAGATAGGTGTGACTACGTTCATTAAAATTCACAGTCTATGGTTTGAACTGCTTGATTCTCTGTTCTGTGTTGGCGATTTCAACGGTTTCATTAAGTCTTCTGAGATATCTACTGTTGTGATTTAGGGTGAAACAAGAATAACATTGAATTGAATTACAAATATTCCTTGCGTTGTTTGCTGACGTGTTGTCTCATCTTTCCATAAAGCTTTTCCACACAGTTCTGTAACGGATAAACTCAGGTTGTCTCACTCAGGTTGTTTCACTCCTCAAAATGTAACCTTCTAATTACCTCCATCTCTTAAGGCTTTGTGTTAAAATGTCCAGAGAAATTGCTCATTATGTGGGCTGCCTTGCCTCAAAGTATTACTGGTTCTATGTGACTCATGTAAAAACACTCTCTCAATGACTTTTTAACATTAAAAGCCTCCATCTTTTTGACCTTCCATCCTTTGAAAACATCGACAAAATCCTGCCCACACATTTATGGAGAGAGAAATATACAGTTTTTCACATATACTATAGCAAGTGGTTTTAGAGTGAGTTTTCAGCCATTAATGGACGGTAAATATGCTCCCGATCAGAGGCTTAAGTGTCTGGGGCCAAAGACATAGAGTAAGAAGGAATTTTTCAGATATGGCTAAAACAAATCAAAATCTCAAGCTGTCTGGCAATGTCCAACCCCGGCTTGGGTCATTAGCTTTTCTGCCCGACTTACTCTTGGGGGTAAAAGGCCAAGTGGTCACAGGACATGCAGCTATAAAGTCCATATAGATACACACCATCACTTCCACAGTCCATTACGTGTGGTGTCGGAGCGATGTGGAGACAGATGTAGACACTTGTGGCTTTTACACGTCCTCCCCCCGCTGCCCCCCGCTGCCATGGCGATGGAAAGAGCAGCCTCTGTAAAAACGCCACTATGGTAGAATCCAATCTAATTCTGCCGTGTGATATCTGTCATTTCTTTAGTGATTGAAATGTCTGTCTGCTTCCCACTGTCCTCTGCGTTTTGGATTTGGAGACGCCTAAGGATGACGGAACCTTTGACATTTTTAGGTTTTTATGTTGGTGAAAGGCAGGAGTGTCCAAACATTTTAGTAAGATGGCCACTTTAGTTCAGCAGGCTAGTCCAGGGGCAGTTCTGAGCTTTAAAATGGTCTATAACAGAGCTGAAGTTGGCTGAATGACACATGTTTACCAT